GTTTTGTTTTTGATGTTTGGGCTGTAATAAGTCTCAAACAACTTGTGTTTCCATCAGGTGTTTTGTGTTTGCTTCCATTTGTACTATTTGTAGCCTTTGCTACTGTGTGATTCCAGTTCTTCTTGTTTACATTTACTCTATTATCGTTTTGTTAATTTTTGGCTAAAAAGGGGAAGTAAAGTGTTGTTTTGTTTTGATGTTGAATCAGATGTCATGACTTCATGTCATGTGTGTACTACTTCTTAGGAAGAGTAGTTGTGTTTTTGTTGTTGTTGAACATGTGCAACTATTTAGGGGGAGCATGCTAGTCTGTCATGCTTGCTTATTGTTGATGAAAAGATGTAGAGCTCTTTGTTGTGTCTGGAAGAAGTTATTATTCTCTATAGTAGGTTGTAGTCTTCAGGGGGAATGAGGCTGAGATGGTTGTTACTGCTCTTTATGGGAACTTGAATTGTTCAAGTTTTTTGTGTTTTTGGTTTTCTTCTTCGGGGGGAGAACTGATTTTGTATGACAGGGGGAATGGTGTACCTGTCTGTGTTGCTGTTGCAAGATTGCATTTTGTACAAAGCTTATATGATCTCATGTAGCTTGTGTTGGTTTATGATGTCAGACCTAATGTCTTGACATTGTGCTGTCTGGTATTCTTTATTGGTTTGGCAGCATTGTCGTTCTTGGGTTTTTGCGTTTTTGTTTTTGTTTCCACTTTGTGTATCTCTGATGTGTGCTAAGGTTGGTTTAACCAAAATTTCCCAAAGGGGGAGATTGTAAGTCCTGTAGTTTTTAGATTGGCTGCATTTTTGTAAAACAACATGCTGTTAGCAAGATGTTGAACCAGATGCTCTGCCATGTTAGTTAGACATCATGCTTTACATGATATTGTGACATGTTCTAGGACATGTTATACCAAATAGTTAGGGTATGACTATTTTGATAATTTTAGTGTGATTTTTTAGTGTGTTCTGATGCACACATGGGCGACTTTTATGGGAGTATATTGTGGAAATTTTTGTTATTACAGATCCTGTTAATTTTCATAAAAAGGATCCTTGAACCTTTAGGAAAGTTTTTATTTTTCTCATATTATTATGCAGGTTGATTTCCAGCCAGTTTATATTGATTGCTGCTATTTGTGCGCCTCAAGAAGCCCAGGTCCAGTAGGTATGAAAGACATTTAAAGAAGAATAAACCTAATGAACCAACGACTTTCACTTGTGTAAAATAAGGGTAGGTTTTGTAGTGTTAGGTTTGAGAGTCTCTTGTGACTTTGTAAGTCACCCTTTATATCTTTTGATACATTGTGGTAGACATATTGTTTATTGTATGTTGTTCTCTCTCTAAAGCTTTTAAGCAAAGAAGTTGATTATTGTTCTTGATTGAATCTGTGAAGCAAAAACGAGTATTGTTCTTGGTCAAGAGTCTTGATCTAGTATTGTAGTAGAAAGAGGGTACATCTTTCTTTTTGGTTTATCGTGACATGGTCATTGGAATTATGACTGCTTGTTAGGAAGTGAGAGGGAGATCTCATATCTAGATGGAGATTTCTAGGTAGAAATAGCATAAGGTAGTATTAGGCGAGAAGTTATAAACGGGGGAGTTTAGTTTTGAACTAATGTTATCATAGGGGATTTCCTTCTTGGCTTGAATGCTCCTAAATGTAGGTGATGTTGCATCAAACTGGGTTACCAATTGACTGTGTTATTTATCTTTTTGCATTTAAAATTCTGCATATTTACAGTTGGATAAATTGTTTTGTCAGTCTGAAGATGTCAAAACATCTGTCATGACTTTGCACTCTGATGTTGAGACTTCAAAATCACCATCATGTGTTGTATGTGCCAGAAAATTTCAGATTTTATGTGTTTGATTCGAATCATGGAAATTAAACACACTTTCTGATTCAAATCAAATTAGACAGAGGCAAACTAGGAATTTTCTTACCATTTGATTCGAATCATTTTTTACATATGATTTGAATCAATTTCTTAAAGCTCACCTCTGCTTGATTTGATTTGAATCAAATATTACACATGATTCAAATCGAACAGTTTTTCAGCATTTTCTAGTTGGGCCTGTTACATTTGATTTAGATCAAAATTTGCACATGATTCGAATCACGAGCTCCTTGATTCAAATAACACTTTCCTCTTTATTCGAATCAACTGAAAAATGAATCAAAGCGCAATTTTTCTTTATTCAATTTCACTTGTTCAATTGATTAAAATCATAAATTACTCTTGATTCAAATCTAACTGACTTTTTCAATCATTTTTAGTGTTTAGTCTCAAGCACATATAAAACATTTTGTTATCACTTTCACATATATCAAATCATAATAAACATTGTGATTCTGTGAAAAATCAATTTCCTCTATTTTGAAAGTCAAATTTCTTACAACTAAATTCTTGCATCTTCAACTTCAATTTGATTCAGATCATGATAACGAGAGATTTATAATTGATATAAGGAGTCATGTTCTTGAAACTAATTGTTCTTGAAATTTTGGTTGAGATTTTTAGGTTGTTTGGAAGATTGAGGTATTTGTCGATGGTGATGACAAATTCTATTGAAAAGAAGTAGGTTCTTCTTTCCAGAATTTCCTTAGTAGTGTCTGCGTAGAAGATTACTGATAAGGCAAAGTTCTTCTCAAATCTTCAAACAATTAATCTCTCAAGGAATCGGCAAGATCAAGGGGTTAATTGCTACGCACGAAGTCTTGGAGAAGATTGGTGATATTGAAATATTTAAGAAGCGTTAATTGAGTAAAGATTACATAGAAGAGTTTAGCATTCTGCTATATACTTGTCAAGATCCATATAAGAGATTTTAATTTTCTCAGTTGTATTGTGGATTAGTGATTGTATGAACTCTTGAAAATATTTGTCAATTAAAAAGGAATATTGAAGGTTCCAATGGGAAACTATTGAAAAATGCACGTATGCAAATTGAGTGCAAACGTCGAAGTACTATAAATCTCGTTGTCATCTCTCTCTCTCTCTCTCTCTCTCTCTCTCTCTCTCACACACACACACACACACACACACACACACATACACACACACACACACACACATACACACACACATTTAATTTCATAGTATTTGCATGCTTAAGTATTTCAATTCTATCGTAGTTTATCGTTGATTCAAATGATAGTGATTTATTACGTAAGCATTAGGTTTTGTTGGAATTGGATACCTTATTAAGTTGAATTGGTGATTAATATTCTGATAAACAATTGAAGTTAGAATCCTCTACATTGAATCAATGTGTAAACACACATCGTGGATTACACAATCGAATCAATTGAATACCTAGTGTTGCATCATATTCACCTTTGGTGTTTGTGAAATGATTTAGTGTTAACGTGATCAAATTTCGAATAGTATAATTTTCATATTTTCGCACCAAACCTTCTGCTCAAATTTTTTTAAAAACACAGATGATTTTTGTAAATGGCGGTTGAACTTTATTTGGGTCTATTCACCCCCCCCCCCCTCTAGACCGTTTTCTACTCTTATACTCACACCCAACAATTGGTGTCAAGAGCTGGTTTTTCGATTGTGTCTAATCGACATCCAAAAATTGTGAGTATGGCAAAAATATGAAGATCCTAAGGGAGCGTATAATAGAGCACGTGTTTTCAAAAGAGAAAATTATACTTATTGAAAAGCGAACATGTATGTACACTTGTTATCAGTTGATAAAAAGCTGTGGTGTGCAATCACCGAGGGATCATATATTCTCAAGGGCAATGACGATGTTGTAAAACATCTAAAAGAATGAGATGATGCTGAAACCAAAAAGGTTTTATATGGCAAAAAGATGATGAGGGCATTTAAAGAAGCTTCTCAAATGGAGTATTTCTTGATTTGGTGCAACAATGTATTATAATTGTTGCTTGAACCATGCTAGAAAATATACATGTATGTAACTAGTAGAGGCTTGTTAACCCGTATTTTGAAAATAGTAGGTATTAGTATTTTGAAAATAGTAGGTATTAAATGACTTATATTAAATATAATTTAAGTTAGAAGGTAGTAAAAAATATTTATATCCAAATTGTTCAAAATAAATATGTACTTAATATATTTACTCAATATATGATTTAACTTTAACGCAGTTAATTAATACATGAAAATGAGCAAATTACAATTCTTTTTTAGTCAGCCAATGCACACTTGTCTTTCAAAAAAAAGAATGATCAGGAAGATCAAAGAATAATAAGGTAAATTGACTTTTTTGTCTAACCTCAACTTTGTTCCTTATGATTATTGGAGTCAACATTATATGATTGAAATAACAAGAGCAAAAATGTGATGCTTCCCGATGCAAGTAATGTGCACATATTAATCCCTTAACTCTTGTCTTATTTTAAACTAATCGCTTTGAATCGCCCATGAATCTTTCATAAAGAAACATCCATCTATATTGAACATGTCCACCAAACAAAGCCTCATATGCAATATGCACAAGAATATGCTTCATACAATAAAGAAACCAAACCAAAAAACTTGTTCCAACTTCCAAAGAATGATTGAAATATTTTAGTCTAATTTAATAAGGTCTTCTAATCTTAAAATTGACACACAAATGTCTTTAAAACAAATGTGAGGGGTTAAATCCTTCACAACACATATTTTAAAATCATATATAATGTGGTGCCATTGGTTCATATCAACTCAATTTTGTAAAATCATATATAATGTGATGCCATTGGTTCATATCAACTCAATTTTGCAAAGGATTATCCTTATAAAATTGCAACATTCAAAAAGTTGCTAGGGGTACCCCTCAACCCCTAACAACATAACTTTTCATGTTTTCCAACATATCTTCATTTTCTCTCTTTTAACATATGTAAATGATAACTCCAACAAGAGAATTATTTGCTTCAAAAGTACTTGCATATTATTCATCATGTTACAAAACCAAAAAACATAATAAAATTAAACCAGCTGCAACTCATAGAGCAATAACATAAAATCAATGTCAACATCAGTTCAATTATCTAATCCTCTTTTTTCAAGTTCTCTGGCAATCTTTAATGATTTCAGCTCATCAATCAACTCAATCAAGTTGTTGTAGGAGTCACCACCTTCCTCTATACTCCTCTTGGCAGCATCAGCAAGCTTTCTAGCTCTCATTCTCATTTCCTTGCTCTCTTCATCACTTCCCATCAAAATCTTCACAGCCTTTGCTATCTCTTCTCTTCTCACCACTACTTCTTCACCAATGTTAACCCAAAACTTATTCACTTTTGATCCAACAGAGACTCCTATTTTCAAAACATCAACAAGCAACTTCTCATTGTAAAATTGCTCAGCAAACATTGGCCATGTGATCATTGGCAAACCAGCACTCAAACTTTCGAGAATTGAGTTCCAACCACAGTGAGTCACGATCCCTCCCGTTGCAGGGTGGCCTAATATGACAAGTTGTGGTGCCCAATTCCAAATCAAATAGCCCTTTTGGTTTTCCTTCATCCTTTGCTTGAAATCTTGTAAGAAACCTTCTCCATCCTCATCTTTATCCTTTTCTCTAATAACCCAAATGAAATTATGACTTGAGTTTTCAAGTCCATAAGCTATTTCCACAAGCTGTTCACGAGAAAGTCTAGTAAGGCTTCCAAAACTTACATACAAAACAGACTCATTTGGCTTTGAATTAAGCCAATTTATTAATTCTCCCTCTTTTCCAATGTCTCCTCTATTGGCTTTTCTTTCATCATCTTTGTTAATCCATGTTGAAACTGGCCCTACACTCCAAGATTTGATTCCTATTGTAGTTTTATGAAGTTTCTCATAATCACTTTCAAGTTCATGAAAGCTATTGTATAGTGTTCCATAACTTCTTTTCTCTGATTCAAACATTTCTCCAAAAGCACTTGCGTTTGGACTGGTAACCCTTGTCGATGCAGGTAACTGCAAAGGTGTTATCTCAATGGTATGAGGCAAACAAGGAATAGTAAATTTCTGTGTATCAGAAACTAAATCATCTTGAGGTCTATACTTTCTCAAAAGATAACTTGCACAATTGGAGAATAGGCTTGAACTGTAAAAGTAAATCCTTGGAATGTTTAGTTTCGCAGCTGATTCAACAGTCCAAGGATAAGTCATATCACTTATTATGCAATCTGGTTGAAGATCTTGAAGTAGAATCTCAATTTGATCTTGAAGCATCAGATTTCCCTGCATGAGTTTACCATAAATTTCCAAAGAAGTGGCATCTTTAAAGTTTTCAATTCCATCAGGGAGACCAACTTGAGCTGAAGGGAACTGTATAAGCTGAGTTTTGATGGAGTATCCAGAATTGAAGTCACTGTCTATGAATTTTTGAAACGTTGAAGCATTGGCATGAGTATTGATGATGGTTACATTAACACCATGTTTGGCAAATAGTCTTGCAGTGTCTATCATAGGAATCATATGGCCAGGAGTTAGACCTGGAACAAAAACTATGTGAAGTTGTTGAGACTCCATTGCTTTTGATGAGAAGTTGTTCCTGAGATATACAAATTAAGAAAGTGATTTTTATTTAGTGCAATCATGTGATATACAAACAAGGTCTGGTCTGCACACAGTTAAATATTAAATACGACATTTGACTTTGAATTAGAAACAACATTTTGTGTTCCTATTCTTGCTTTCTCCGTGCTTTGTTTTGTAGTGTCATCTTCAAGAAAATTAATAATACTATTAAACAAGTTAACGTCTAATATAGGTTTGCTCTAAAAGCTTATCTTATTAATTTTAATATTTTTATTTTTATTTTTTAATTATTAATTATATCAATGTTAACATTGTAATGCATAGTCTCTGTCAAACTTCGATAAAAAAAGAGATGGTTGTGTTAGACTCTCGACAGCCAACAAAATTTGTTATTTAATTTATACATTATGGATCAATTGCGCAATAATGTGAATGTTAGATCGTTGCTCGGAAGAAACACATTATATGGTTCGAGTATAGTGTCAAAAGAGAAAGGGTTGTTGCATCGCCATATGGATGCTTTGAAAAATAAATAATTCCCATATTTTCATGAACAGGTATGGGTAAAAAAGTGGTTTCATGAGAGTAGATTTGTTTTGGAACATGGAATTTAGACACACTTACTAAAAAATGTATAGAAATAATGGACATTATAGTCACGAGGATGATCAATTTCATGTGCTTAAAAAAAACTAAGTGGACGAGTGAATAGACGAAAGAATTATATAGCTTGGGCTTTAAGCTTTGGTATATTGGCAAAGTTAAGTCGAGAAATGGGGTGAGAATTATTGTAGACAGTGAGTAGAAGAAGGATATTTCGATTGTGAAAAGACTAGGAGATCGGATCATAACCAGAAAAATTGCAGAGGAGGGTGTGCATGAGGGGTATGGTATTAGGGAGGTAAATGTATAAGGTAAAATCATCCTAGAGTTTTCGTCGACATTTGATCTTTCTATAGTTAATGTCTGCTTTAGAAAAAGATTAAAACATCTTATTACATATAAAAGTGGGGTACCATGTTCTCGAATATATTTCTTTCTTATTAGGAAGTTAGATAGAAAGATTTGATTGACTATTTATTATGGATGTAAGAGTCAAGAGAACAGCGAGAAGAACAAGTCACATGAGAAAGAAAGACAAGAGATTTGGATCAAGTGAAGTGTGTTAAATATGAAGAAGGAAAAGTTTTTATTCTAGAAAAGGATATAAAGGATAGGTGGAGGATGTATTTTTACAATTTAATTAATGAAGTATATGATATTTCACCATACTTTAGAAGGCTCGACATTGGAGAATAGGGTTGAAACTATAATTATTATGGTCGAATTCAAAAATAAGAAGTAAAAGAAGCATTGAAAATGATGAGTAACAGTAAGGTGGTTGGGCTAGACAACAAGTCTATTGGAGTGTCAAAAATTATTAGAGATGAAGCACTTTAGTTCCAATCTATAAGAATAAGAGCGACATACAAAATTTTCAAATCATTGGAAGATTAAACGTATGAGTCATTCCTTGAAGTTATGGGAAAGAGTAGTTTAATAGAGACTAAGAAAAGAGATTCAAGTTACTGAGAATCAATTTGGTTTTATGTTTGGTAGGTCAACCATAAAAGTGATTTATCTATTACGACTTATGATGGAGTAGTATCGAATAGACCAATAAAACTCGCACTTAATTTTATTGTGTCATTTAATTGAACCACAATTTTAAGATGTAAGATTGGATTAGTAAATATTAATGGATTGAATAACAATAACTCGACTTAATGAATGGATTGATTTGATATTCTAAAAGGGAAAGAGATTTATTAGAATGATCCTTTGAAAACTACATCGTTGAAAGGATCTTTCTAATGATATATTGATCTTTTTATAATATATTTAGCCATTATATCTTTTGCAAAACGTGCTAACTTCTTCTAGGTAGGGGTATTCTTTGGTCGTATGTTCTCGTTTATGGTGCTCTTTTGCTTGAACCTTGGGCGTTACACCGTATGTATCTTTGCAGGAGGTCATCTTTAGTTAACTTCTTGATTTCTCGCTTCAGGTAGTGACAATTGTCTGTATGGTGACCACATATCATATGGTACTTATACACCTCTCATGTTCACTCCTCATCATATTTCCCTTGGTGGCAATAGATTTAGAAATGACTTTGGTGTGATAGACGTCTTGGAGAATCTAATCCCTTCTCGTATTTAGTCAGGGTGAAAAGCTTTAATGATCTCCTGACGAGCTTGAATGCAACCTTTCCTTGAACAAATATTGTGTTCAAGTGCCTTTGCTGAATAGATAATTCATATTTTTCCCACCTCACTCTCTTGCATTATAGATTCTTTGTTTAGTGTTGCTTTACTATTTTTTTAAAGTGCATGACAAAATATTTTCCATCAAGGCTGCCGATTTCTAAGTCAAGAACTTGTTGAAGTTCTAGAACTTGAGACCGTCCTTGAAAGCTTTAACGAATATTTATGTGTTTGTATTTGAGACTTGTATGTTCTCTTCATGAAATTAGGCCAAATACTCACACAAGTATTCAGAATATCCTTGGCGGTTGAACAAACTGATGGTGGAAAATTTTCTTAATAACTCATTGTAACTTAACACTAAGAACCTCGTATAGCTCGTGTACTTTCTAGTGTACTTTCTAATGGAGGCCTCCTAGAACGTTTCGCTAATCACCTTTCACTTTAGTGAATCTTCTAGACTAATGATATTCATTTGGGTTTTTGATTGAAATTATGTGCTCCTGTGGATGGGAATTGTCGTCGAATGATGCCAAAGAGAGTAGTTTGAAATCGTCGAATGTCGCAAGTCTTCGTCGCGAGTGGTTAGGGATATGCAGTCTTCTCGTCCTTTATCACCTTAGGATTTGTTCTGTTGTGAATCGGACACCTTAAAACTAAGTATAAACAGTTTCTTAATGATCAGGAAACACACAAGGGTTAGGGTTTATAAAGAAGAAAACAACAAGAATTGGTTATTAAACTGCTATTCTTTCTTTTCTCTTAGAACAAGATTACAAGTATACAAGAATAACAAAATAACCTCTCTCTTAAAATTTGGATTTTATCTTCCTATTTTTCCTTATTGACAAGATTGAGAAACTAGTATCCTATTTATAAGAAAAAATAGCACACTAACCTAATGGGCTTTTTAATAATTATCCATTACAAGCTAACTTAGAGTACAAGTTAACTTAAACAATTGGGCTTACAAGCAAGACCCAATTCAACATGCTAACAATCTTAGCAATATTAATTAATGCATGTTAGAACAAACTTCGACTACAACACGCATTACTCGCAAACAGACTTCGACCATACTAGAGTTCGATCCAACATCTCACATGTTCGTTGTTGCTCCTGTAGGTCATATACACTCTCATGTAACAATTATTTCTGGTGATGGAGCTCATCCATAAAGGAAAACATCCCCATTATGGTAGCTCAACTCAGTCAGTGTTGTTGTTGTTACTAGTGACAGTCCGCGTCATGGTTAGATGGGATCAAACTGCTATTGGAACAGGTATGTTTGGCCTGATCAATTTTAATAAAGTTCACGGTGGTGCCAAATGTACTCGTAAAATTACAAAGATAAATCTATTAGCGAGGTCCATAGAAGTCGCAATGTTTTAATGCTCAAATGTTTATGTATGCAAATTGTTTATATCTTTCTCTTTGTGTTTTCCCCTTTATATTGTAATTTTGACTCATTTTGCAGGTAAACTCCATTAGAGACAATTTAATATGATTGCACGTGATTCCTATGACCTTTTAATGATAATGGAAATCATTGATTTCCTTAATCCAAATCCTTAAAGCTCTCCATCAATCACAAATTCATTCTCCATCGTATCTCAATCAGATATTGTCTCATGTTAGTCTTGGGGCATGACCAACCTCCAATCTTGATCTTTTAGATGAGTCATTATTAGGGCGAACTTTCTTATGTTCAAGTGGAATCTGACTCACTCGAGGTAACCCAATTCAAGAAACTACACATCTACAAGTCATTCAAACATGAGTTATGTAAGAGTGAAATGTTTTCATAATTCCTATAAAAAAACCGAACATTTACACAATCCCTCAAACATGAGTCGTGTAAGAGTAAATTTTTTTCCTAAGTACTACCGAAAAACCTAACATGTGAAAGACAAAATGTCATATTTAAATTTCTAATATTGCTTGACATAGTTGCAACTCTCTGTCATGCAATCTCGGTCCAAGATTAAGACTATTTTAATAAGAAAAAATTATTGTGCCATCTGAACACAAGAAACACAAAATTATAAGACACAACCAAACTATAACTGCAACACAAGAGAACATCTACAAAGAATTCTGAAATTGGAGAAATAGTAATGAAAATAAACTAAAAAAGCCAAGTTAGAAGAAGTTTATACATACCTATTTTCCAAATACCAAAGCTCCAATCTTTTCTTCTCAAATCCTCCAATTCGATTTCCTTTGTTTTTCTGCGCTGTGTTACTTAACACTTACTTCCCTCTGCTTCATATGTATGCATGTCAAAGACAAAATAAAAGAAGAAAAACGAGGCACGGGATCAAGAATCAATGGCTATTTTTTTCTTTCCTTCCTTCCAAATTTGTCTATTACATTATGTTTGACAGCTATTCTCCATTCCATGTTCTGATCAATGGCTATTTTTTTCTTTCCTTCCTTCCAAATTTGGCTATTACATTATGTTTGACAGCTATTCTCCACTCCATGTTCTAGTGTTCCACAATATAAATTATATTATGACAGTCAAAAAAACATTATCATATTTTATGTATAGTTTTATATTAGAGTTTAATTTTTATACATGTAATAAATTTTATACTATCAATAAATCACTTATCTTTTAAATAGTTAGAGAAAAAGTTAAAACATTCAAAATGAATTAACGGTTGAGATAAATGGACAATGTAAAAATTTTTACATTATTAATGTATATCAATTAAACTTTTTATAATATAATTTTTCTTT